GTTTTATGTAACATTTGTTATATGAATTTTGTAGAAAATCCTTTAAAAAGAGAACCTAGGAGAGTAAAAACCACAGAAGAGGAAGAGGAAGAGGAAGAGGAAGAAAACCAGAAAGCTCAAGGCCTCTTAACTAATCAAGATCAAATGTCTTCTAATGGGTTAATGTCTGAATTAGAATCATTAGACCAGGACTTACTAAGTGAAGAAACTAAAGAACAAGTTACTAACTTACTAACTGAATTAGAACAAAAAAAAAGAAAAAGAGAAGCAAAAAAAAAGAGCAGTTAGAAAATGAAAATAAAAATGTTTATGAATTTGAGGGAGAAGAACCAAAACCTTTCTCTCTTTCTGATTTGGAACAATTAGAACAGTTTTTTGTTTTCTTAAGAGTGATAATATATTAGTAGTTGAATACCATAATAATAATAATAATAAAGTTGGTTACAACAAATATTTAATTATTTAAAAAGTACTAGTAAAACCTCTTTATCTCAATTGGAACTTAACCAAATATTTACTGAGCAAAAGCAAGAACAATTACCCTCAACTGACTCAACCAATTATTTATCTTATTTATTATTAGGAGAAATAATAGGGGTGGCAATAGGAGTTTTTGTATATTTGACAAGAAGAAAAAATTTAACCAAAGTAGTGTTAATTACACATGTTTATTACACTAAGAAGTTTATTTTTCTTCAAACTTCCTTTTCTTTTTAGGTTCTTCATAAACTTTGTGTTAAATTTCTTTTATTAGTTATAATCTTACTTTTCTCTTGATAAATTTCATAGGTAATTCTTTCTTTTCTTAGATAAGCTTCCAGTGTCTGAGTATCATTTATTTTGAAAATATAAGGAGCAATTTTTTCACCTTGTTCCTTTTTTAGAATCTTCTAATGGTGCTATAGTTTTTGGGTTCCATAGTAGATCTGATGTAAATGAGTTTCATATTAACTATTTTTATATAGAGGTAATTCTATATATCACTTAATATTAAGAAAAACAAATATAACAAATGGGGGATTTTAATAATCACATTACTAAATTTTGATCCCTGAAATTCTTGGTTATACCAATGTTCACTTTGTCTGGTTTTGTTGCAGCATGCCCCATATTATGTGAAAAAAAAGTTGTTACACGAAATTTACTTGGTCAATTTCTTAAATGTATAACAAAATTCGGAGTTTTCAAAATGCTAAGGCTCAGCCAATTTTCTGTTTAAGAAAAAACCAACCGATAAGTTTTGAAGCTTGAGTCATTGGGGTGTTACAAATTTCAATAAACACAAACATAGTTGACCACACATATAAAAAGTCATATATACGGATTTTTCGCCGATCAATATATGTAAAAAATTTTAATATAAAAATTCAAACTCTATCTCCTTCAGATTTGTAAAGTATACCACTATTCAAAATTGGTATATGAATATTTCATAACACATACTTCAAAACAACGGTTTTGATTTTTTGATTTTTTGTTTAAAAAAAAGTTGTATGTTCAAAAAAAAATTTTAAACAAGAATTAAGGAAATTTTTTATAAATTTTTTAAAATTCTACAACCGTTAAATGAAAGAGCAAGTTCCAAACTTTCATTTAATATCAGTTTTATAATTGTAAGAAAAATATTGGTGGACAAGATAGATTTTGAAATTTCGTAGAGATTTATTATTATTTACAGTAATATGATGATCATCACATTCTCATATTCTCTTTAATCATTACTTCAACTTGTATGTTGTATAGATCAGGGGCAATGATTTCTGTGGTGATAAATGCTAATTCCGTAAGTGCTAAAGACAAATTCCGCATGCATACCGTGCATTAAAAAAAAAAAAATAGAAAATTCTAAATATTTAAACTGCATAAAGACTTCCTACTTCGTTCTACACTATAATAATAAGAAATTGGTAACACTTATTAAATTCCATTTTTTATCTGCGGTACATTATAGTATTTCTGGTTTTAAACATTCCATGATTTCTGCGGCATTCTGCGCTATGCAGAAAATCATCCCTGGTATAGATAGTAATAAACAAAGTTGAAGTCATGGAGTTATCCACAAAAAAATAGAAGGGTTATTCCATGCATGACTAATTATTTTATTAGTAATCTTTTTTAACATTTCCTTTACTTGCGTAACAAACTTTGAATTATTAATATGAATTGATTTTTTTATCAATCGCGTAACAACTTTGGATTATTAATTATGATGTGAATTAATTTTACAAAGAAACATCTTTTCTGACTATTCGCGTAACCAACTTTGGATTATTAATTTTACAAAGAAACGTCTTTTCCGATTATTCGCGTAACAAACTTTGGATTAATTTTTTTATTAATCACAATAAAGGAAACATCTTTTCTGACTATTCGCGTAACAAACTTTGGATTATTAATTTTTCATATGAATTATTTTTTTTATTAATCACAATAAAGGAAACATCTTTTCTGACTATTCGCGTAACAGACTTTGGATTATTAATTTTTCATATGAATTATTTTTTTATCATCATGACAGGAAAATATATTTTCTGACTGTTTGCGTAACAAACTTTGGATTATTAATATGATTCAAACAAATTCTAATTACATAAATCATGTAGTTAAAATAAAATCTTATTATTCAAACAAACCCTTCTATGAAGAACTTTGCATTATCAATTCAACATCTTGGCACTTTAACTTGCTTCTTATGAACTTCTTGTATTTTGATTCTGAGGATTGAGTAACATCAAATTAATTCAAATAGCCTTTGAAATTCCCCTCTTCCTAATTTTTGACATGTAATAATTTCTGAACAAAATAATCAAATAATAAAAAATCTTTTCACAAATTTACAACAAATATATATTCCCAATTGAGAAAAATAATAATAAATTAATACCTTTGTATCATCATTATTAACTTACACACCAATTCAACACAATCTCACAATTTATTTGTACTGATTCAAAAGTTGCGTTTTTGTTTGATCATTATAATGCCTCCTCAAAAAAAATTAAGAAAACATTTGAAAAAGATATCATCAATAGGTGTTGCAAGTTGCAGATTAAAAAAAAAATATAATAAAGATTTGCCTAAATCTCAAGTTATTGAAATTTTGAAGTCTATGAGCTCCAACGAACTCCATGAAATCATCCATGAAATTAGCTCTAATGAATTTCAAGAAATTTTCCATTCAAATGGATCCCAAGAAATTATTTGTGAAATGAATTCTGATGAACTACAGGAAACAATCCATGAAATTAATTTTGATGAACCTCAAGAAACCATCCATAAAATTAATACTCTTATTCCACAAAATAAAATAGAAAAAAGGAGGAATGAGCTTATTGAGCATGTAAAAAACTTGCCTGAGAGCCAGATAATCAATGCTTATACTCTGTTTTCCACAATGACATATGATAAAGGGAACCATCGTGGAGAAATATATTCATCTTATATTCAAAAAAAGGCAAAAGAATTTGTAAATAGCAGCATTTATAAACAATCTTCATCAATGTCATCAATACAAGAAAAAATTAGTGAGATGGAAACTAAAATACATAAAATAGAAAAAGAAAAAGAAAATACTGATCTTCAATTAAGATCCCTTAAAATGAAAGAGGTGAAAGCTAAAGAAACAAAAAAGAATCATGTCTCTAAATTACGTCAATCTATACAAAAAGCAAAACAAATTACTCCTAATCAACTTCAGAATGCTATAAAAAAGATGATAAAAGAAAATAAGAAACAATATACACCTGAGTTTGTAGAGCTTGTAACCAAAATCAGTAACACTGGTAGTATTTCCATTTCATCCACTGTTGAATGCACTAGAGCAATTATGCAATTTTTAACAGGTGAGAAACCAGATCATTGGCTTTCAACTGGAACTATTTCACGTTGGAATAAAGAAGTTGCTACTTTGTGTCTTCATCAGAATCGTCCTAAAGATACCAAGTCACGTTCTTATTCTTATGGAATAATGTGTGATGAAAGCACACGTGGTGATAAAAAGATATTTTTGATTTGTTTTGCTCATTGGAGTGAGGATAAAAATCAGCCCACAATTACTATTGCCAAGATGGATGATTTAGATAAATGTAATGGAGATATTGTGGCAAAAGCAGTAAAAAAAACATGTGAAGAAAATGAAATTAATCCAAAAAAATGCAATTTTTGGCTTACAGATAATACTGCCTATATGTCTGGTTCCAAATCAGGTGCAGTTGTCAAATTCAACTTGATGTGTCAATCCTCTTCTTACCGAATACCTTGTGGTCTGCATGCATTACAAATTGCATTAGTGAACTTTGAAAATACAGTATTTGGGAAAACAAATTCTCCATCAGGTCTCTCTTTAGAACAACAACACCCACATAACCTCCTCAATTTAACATACCACTTACATGATGGATATAATGATAGTAATAAAGATAGCCCTTTGAATATGAAATCTGACTTGATACGTAAATTATATTGGAATTTACTTCAATATCCTTTAAAATCTTATCAAAAGCCAATCTCAAGTCGTTGGTTGTATCAATTAACAACTGCTCAGCAATATTTAACAAATAAAGATATTCACCAAATATTTGCACAGTGGTTTGTTAATGAATTGGAACTATCAAAAAGTGTTCCTAGTAGTTATCTTAAAAAGTGGAAGGTATTTCTTAATTGGCTTGAGGACTCTAAGTTGAACATTGAAGTAGAATCCATGGTGAGATTTGGAGAAACATTTTATGAAAAAGTCTTTAAATTTTTAACTGGATTTGACACTGTACTTCGAATAGCTAATGAAGATGAAACTAAGTGCTTACCTTTGGGAAACCGTGCACATGAGATGCCAGACCAAGTTTTCATTTGGATAGATGAACTTGAAAAAGCAGCAGAAAATCCAGAATTAATTTTCAAAGAAGAGTTTGAGAATGCTCAGTCCTCATTATCTAATGAAGAATATAACAATCTGAAAAAAAAAATAAAAGATGGAATAAAAAAGGCATTAGACAGTTTTTGCAAATGGATGGGATGCTGGATCCATTTGCCATTAGCAATTTGTAGTTTAGGAGGTGATAATGGTCCAGAATTTGCTCGTGCCATATCTCGTGTGTTCTTTTCTGTTTCCTATAATATAGAAATAAATTTGCATGAAAAAAAATATATAGAATTTCTTGAGAGAGACAAATCAAAAGGTATCAACCAATCTTTTGGACTGTTAGAAGCTCTTCAGGAACAAGACTTTTTAGATGAATTTCAAGAATTTTCTGTATCTGTTGCTTCAAGCCTTCACAAATTTCCACTTCTGTATGATTTTGTGAAATATAGAATTTGGTCTATTGTAGTACACCAACAACAAATCGAAGGCCTGTTTAACAAATATGATATTAAAACACATCCTAATATGAAGAAACCACTGCAAGAATCACGAATGTTGCTTTCTGGTTCCAATAAAATTCAAGTAAAAATTACAAAAGAAAATCTTGCAGCAGTTAGAAAAGAGCAGAGAGAGCAAACGGTAAATTAAATATCTTTTAATGATTAAATTGCACAATGAATACAATGAATACTTATTATACATACTTATTATACATACTTTTTTATTTATTTATTTATTTAACAAAGTGTGAGAGTAGCGAGGAGAGTTTTGGAGAAGAAACAGCAAAAGCAATCTTAAGAGAATATTTATAATAATAAGAAAACATTTATAATTATTTATTATTATTTATTATTTATTATTTATAAAATTGATCTGCATTTTTCCCAATAAAAAATCCTTACATATGATTTTTTATATGTGTGGTCAACTATGTTTGTGTTTATTGAAATTTGTAACACCCCAACGTAATATGGTTACAATGTTACACCAATAGACCAGTAACAAGAGTATGTGACAAACTAACTAAAAAAGGCATTTCATGTCGTGTTATATATCAATAGATTAGTGCGGTGTATATTCGTTCTTATTTTATTTTATTTTATTTTCCTTAATTAAAAATAATAATGGAGCTTTTATATAGCGTTCGTTATAAATTAAAAATTTTGTTTTTGTAAATATCAAAATCGAAGTTTTCCTTTCCTCTTTATAATTTAAAAAATCAAAATTTTTTTATGTCTTATATACATATCAATCATGAAAATGTTAGAATATAATCCTCATTATTATTAAATGTTATTAAAGCACAACTTAATAATGATGAATTTGGACTTCTTTTAAGTCCTCCTTGTAAACTTGATTTACCAATCGAAGAGTTGATTTCACCTGGAAACAACAAAGAAAACCTCCCAACCAAGTCTCAGAACGCTTTTATATTGTATCGAAAAAATAATAGAAAATCTCCTGCTATAGCTAAAGTTGCTTGGGATGAAGAATCGGACAAAGTAAAGCAATACTTTAAAATATTAGAGAAACTGGCTGCTGAAAAATTTAATTTAATATATCATTCAGGAGATCAGCTACTGAAAGAATTTGGTTGTAAAGCTCAACAACCAGAACCACAACCACAACTACTACAACAAAGACCAATTGAAATTAATAGAAGTAATTGTGTAATTCCATCACAATCATTACTACCTTATCAGTTTTCTTCTCCTTGCACGAGCGATGATACAAATCCATCGTCTTCCACTTGTTCCAATTTATCCACTTCTTTATCTCCATATTCCACCCCATATCATCCTATATTAATTATAACAATCCGCCTAATCTATTGATATATAACACGACATGAAATGCCTTTTTTATTTAGTTTTTACCACACTCTTGTAACCG